GAAGTGAAACTGACAGCCAAGTTTCCAAGCCCTGTGGCTGGTGATCTTCCCCGTTCTTCTTTCTCTGCCACCTCTGCCTCCCGTTGCCTTTTATCTGAATCTTCACCAAGGCCTGGAGTTCATTTGGTCCAAAGATCACAAATCCAGAGTTTGTCTCCACAGAGCTGTGGTGCTGTCTTGGATCTTGGGTGGAAATTAATACATCATATCACATTAGATAAGTTTCTTTTGATTGCAAGGGGGAGTCAAATTTTCACCAAGGATGTTAATACAGGCTTCCAGAATTCAAGGGCAAGCTGAACAAACAAGAGACAACAAGGAATCCACTCAGTAATCATGGCAACTCCTAGGCTTTCAGTACAATGAAATGCCTACCTTGAGCCCATTCTGATCATCTCAAAAATGTCCCTCCACTGAGGGTTCCTGAAACCAGGTTGTGTGTCAAAGACAGGAGACAACGGGTGACTTCATGTAGTTCAGAAACTGAAGTTGGTAGACCTTCTCTCCAAACAAGTGGATCCCCGGGAAGTGAACAGAATGAGCGTGGCTGGCCATGGGAGCCCAGCAAAGCTGAGCTGTCTGCCTGTGCGTACTGGGAGGAGGCAGTCCACTGTCAGCCCCGCAGCCAGCCGGCAGCCTATCTTATCTATCTATCGCAGTCTTTCTTGGGCAAGAATGGTCAGCTGAGGAGACCCGCCTATTAGGAGCAGATTAGTATCAGTAAAAGTTATCATTTTATGAGTGGTTTGTCCTTTTTCTCATCCTGCGATTCAGTCTAGCCTCGTTCATGATCTTACCAGCTAAAATCGATGCACCTTCAGTTCTACTTTCCTGGTTGGCTGAGTACCCCCCTCGCTTTAACTTCTGCTGGGTTAACCTTTAGAAGATGGCTATGGGATCATTGGGTCCCCCACCCCAGTGGAGATTTGAAGTCATACCTGAAGTGGTTGTCTTGTGCTGACCCCACTACCAAGGCAAATGTGTACCAGGGAGACAGGGAGAACTCAGTCTCTTCCTTGATTAAGCCAGAATTACTGTAGCACTCAGTCACTCCCTCATCAAGCCTTCATCATGTCACAAATTATCACATGACGGAGGTGCAATGATGTCTGAGATGTCACACCTGCTCTGAGGGGCTCACTGAGCTTGGAAATGTGCTTGTTGGAGAGGCAGTGGTTTCCTAATGCCATGTGGTTATGGCTCTGCAGGCTCAGGTATTCCCAGCCCCGACGTCCTTACACTGTGGCACACCAAACCCCAGGTCTCTGCCTCTCTCCCAGAGACTGAGAGAAGGGTTTGATCGGCCGAATCACAGCCCCTCCCAGAGACTTCCACATTGCTGCCCAGACCTGTGAGTGTGTTCTGTTATGTGGCGAGAGGGAATTCGGTTTGCAGATGGAATTCAGGCTGCTCATTAGACAACTTTAGGAGTGGGGAATTATGCTGGATAACCCAGGGGGTCATTGCAATCACAGGCCCTTATTAGAAGGCTGGAGAGGGAGGACCAGAGGCGGCAGCCTAAAAAGGACTTGCTCTGCTGATTTTGAAGATGGAGGAAAAGAGTGGAAAGTCAAGAAATGAGGGCAGCCTCCAGGAGCTAGAAAAAGCAAAATAAGGACTCCACCCTCCGGGCTCCACAGGGGAAGCAGCCAACACCTTGCTCTTACACTAGTGAGACTCACTGGTCCCCAGCACTGTCAGAGGAAGAACTGGAGTTGTTTTAAGCTCCTGAGCTTGCGGTACTTTGCTACAGTAACAACAGGAATATAGGTAAGAGTGTGCTTGGGATGTGGGTGTCCTCTCAACCAGGTACACCCCTCTAAAGTATCATTTAAAGATATTTTCACATTGAGTACATAGAATAGCGTGAAAACCTCCCAGTGGCTTTAAAGATAAAACAGAAGATTTCAAAATAGTTGCAGGTTGTGAACTGCTTTGAGCTTTAGGTGACAGTCACCCTTTCTCCCACTGTTACAGCAAAGATGGAGTCAGTGCCTATTAAATGGCCATTGCTTTGATTCCCAGAACAACGTGGCATCCAGATCTTTATGTTTTGAAGAATTCTTATTTATTTGAGAGGCAAAGAGAGAGCCAGAGAGCAACACAGACAGAGAGTGCTTCTATCAGCTAAGCTGCTTCCCAAGTGCCCTCAAGGGCTAGGTCTGTGCACAACCATAGTCATGAGCTGGGAACTCAATCCAGGCATTCTGCATGGGTGGCAGGGACACAACTACTTGAGCCAACCCCTACCGCCTCCTCGGGTCTGCATTAACAGGAGGTTAAAGTCAGGAGCCAGATCTAGGAATAGAGCCCAGGTACTATGATATGAGACTCAGGCATCATAAACCATGTCTTAAATGCAAAGCCAAATTCTCACCCTTAGCTTTTTTTTAGCTTAACATTATAAAAATCCATATTCCCCAAAATGCCATCATTAGAATTTCATTTAAGGGCTTAAGAATAGTCTATATCAAAGAATCATAATATCTGAGCATAATTTGCCCGAGCATACTGTGCCCTGCCACAACAGGGTGCCCTCGCTGGGGCTGTTTCTTGAGGGCAGGTCACATAGGAGCCCACCTGGAGCTCTCCATGCGTGTGCAGCGGTGCCCTGGTGCACAGGCAGCCCTGAGCCTGCACAGCTCCGGCATCACTGCTTTCGTTCTGACTGAGCAACTGCAACCGGCCCCTTCTCCTTAAATGACTGGCTCTGTTCTCATGAAAGGATCTCTTTGACAAGAGCACACAGACAGTGTGCAAGAGAGACTGGGGCTCTGAAAATGCACACCCCATTTTTTCACGCTGAGCCCAGTGATCCTGATGTGAAACTGCACATAGAAAGAGGTAGGGGCCAGGGGAGCTCATTTTCTGGGGCCAAGATCAGAGGCCCTCTTCTGGCTTTTCTCAGCCCACCTTTCCATTCTACAGCACCGCATTACCTGGGCCCAGGCGTCAGAAGCCATGGTGCTGATTTTGCAGCCAGACACTGTACAGATTCAAACATCATCGGACAACTTTTGTGCAGATTAATAATGCATCATTAATATTAAGTCCTTGTCTTTGTTTTAGCAAAGAGGAGGCATTTTTCTTTCCTTGTTGTCTCCCCCTCACCCCAATTTGTTAGCTTTTAAATCACCCTTTCTTTTTTATTATTTATTTATTTGAAAGTCAGAGTTACACAGAGAGAGAAGGAGAGGCAGAGAGAGAGAGAGAGAGAGGTCTTCCATCCGCTGGTTCACTCTCCAGTTGGCCACAATGGCCAGAGCTCTGCCAATCCGAAGCCAGGAGCCAGGAGCCAGGAGCTTCTTCTGGGTCTCTCACGCAGGTGCAGGGGCACAAGTACTTGAGCCATCCTCCACTGTTTTCCCAGGCCACAGCAGAGAGCGGATTGGAAGTGGAGCAGCTGGGACTCAACCAGTGCCTATATGGGATGCCGGCACTGCAGGTGGTGGCCTCACCCACTATGCCACAGTGCCAGCCCCTTAAATCACTCTTTCAAGGGAGCTGGATCTGACCACACATGTCAAATATCACTCTAGCCCAGCCCCGCCTTCTCACTCTTTGTCCTTTTCTCTGCTCTCTTCATTGTTCCCTGGCACAGCTTGCACCTGTCATATCATCTTTTTTTTCCTTTCCCTCTTCTCCTTTTCTCCTCTCCTCTCTTTTCTTTTCTCTTTCCCTTCTGAGAATGTAAGCTCTATAAGAACAGGTGCTACATCTCTAGCCAAGGGCATGGAATGCTTTGGAATAAATTACTGGATTTTTCACATCTCCTCAATGTCTCATACAATGCTAGACTTATCATATAAAAATCTCCTGTGAAATAAAAGGAAACGGGAGCAAGGCAGAAAAAACCCTTCACTTGCCTTTTTGGTAGTCAAAGTTTCTAGTTTCTGATTGACTGACTGACTGAGGGGAGGAGGCAGAAGGGGAAATGCCCTCAGTGTTGACTCAGAATTGCTCCAAGTCTTTGTGTGAAGTTCCCAAGCCCCCTGGCCTGAGCCCTTTTGCTGCCTCACCACCCCCTGAGCCCCTGAGACATCAGTGGACATGATCACACGTGAGCCACCCCTTCAGCTCGTGTTCACTTAAGAAAACTCAAGGCCTCCTTTAGTTTATTTTAATCGGGTGGTTAAGAGAGAGGGGAGAAGGCAGTGAGTCCAGTTTTTTGAGATCCACTGATTGGTTACAAGGTTGTTCTAGAACTGATTTAAAAAAAAAAATCGGGGCTGGTGCTGGGGTGTAGTGGATAAAGCCGCCTGCAGTGCCAGCATCCCGTATGAGCGCTGGTTCATGTCCCAGCTACTCCATTTCAGATCCAACTCTGCTATGGCCTGGGAAAGCAGTAGAAGATGGCCCAAGTCCTTGGGCCCCTGCACATGCTTGGGAGACCCGGAGGAAGCTCCTGGCTCCTAGCTTCGGAGAGGCGTAGCTCTGGCTGTTGTGGGAGTGAACCAGTGGAATGGTGGAATGGAAGACCTCTCTCTCTCCCTGCCTCTCCTTCTCTCTCTGTGTAACTCTGACTTTCAACTAAATAAATAAATCTTTAAACAAAAAATTGAGGCAATGGAGGGGATTCTCCATATTCCGGGGCAAGTCTTCTATAAAGCCCACCTGGAAGGCTTCTGGGTTTCTCGTAGGATCTGTTTCAACTGTCAGCCCCTCTTTGAACGCTTTCCTGAACCCTGCCACAGGAAGGTTCCTCAGGGCCTCCCACGTGCTGTCACTTTGGTGGCGTCTCCTGAGCCTGGTGGCCTGGGGGACTGTGTCTGTTACTGGTTCTGAGCACCAGGAGGCCAAAACCGTCTTTCATGTTGTATATCTCAGAGTCCAGCTGCAGGGCCTGGCACGTAGTCTGTACTCAGAACATGTTGAGAAAATGAGGCAGTAAATACTTGAAAAACACAAGAGACTTCAAAACCAGGCTCAGTCACCCCATTAGCATTGGACTTTCCTCCTAGGGATGCCACTTGATGTTTTATTTTTCTCTCTTCATTCAGGCAATCTGATTGTTCTGAAACATCCTTATCCAAGGAAAGTGGAAGAGCCTTCCATTTACGAATCCGTCCGGGTTCACACAGCAATGCAAACAGGAAGAACAGAAAGTGACCTTGTACCTACTGCACCTTCCGTAAGTGACCGTCAACTTGACCGCAAGCTTTCACTGTTTAAATGCCATAAAGCGTAATAATTTACTCACATCACAATTCTAACTTCAGCTATAAAACTTAGAAAGTAATGCCAGATTCCGCCTATTATGCAGTTCCTATGGTCCTGGGTAAATCATAAAAAAAATACAATGCAATGGTGATAAGATTTTTAGTACTTAGAAAATGACAGGTAAATCTCTGTCTTTAGTTAGCCAAATAAGTCCGTGGTGCAATGTATGAGAGATGTTTCTGTTTACCTAGTTGACTAAACTGTTATTCTTTGACAAGTTTCTTTTATAAAGAAAAAAAGTTTTGCATTTCAGCTGGAATAAAAAGTAGTGTGTAGCTTTACTGTACAAACTCAGGGTGTAATCTTTCCTAGCTCTTCTTGCTTCCTGATGGAAGAGCACAGAAGAAAACATTGCCCGTCTTTGCAACGTGAGCTCTTGCTGGGTTTCAGTGCCAAGGAAGCACTGGGTGTTGGTCTCACAGTGTACTGAGGTCTGCAGACTGTAGCCCTCTCAAGAAATCTGGACTGTGCAGCTGATAAAGGGGACAATACCCAAATGAAATACCAAGAACTAAGACTGGAGAGCAGTCATTCCACTTGAAAAATAATCACTTGAAGATATTCAGCTATGAATTCTATGAAACTATATGTGATCTTTCCGGGCTCTGCAGTACTTTTTGCTCCCCTACCAGCAGAGAAACCTTTAGAAAAAGCAGACCCTCCCCAACACCTGTCCACCTGCCATCCTGTGGTGAGGCCCAGGAAATTCATGGTCCACCTGGACCCTGCTTGCCCTCTTTGTACTCATCTCCTGTTCCCCCCAGGCTCACTCTGGGGAACCTGCGTCTCTCAATAATGCACTTGTCTCAGTGCTCCTTCTTCCCTCCCCATATCTGAAAGTCTGCCACAGCCATGGATGTCCACCCATCCCCCAAGACGTGTATCAGGGGGCAGGGTCTTCCAGGAAGCCTCGCTCGACCCCACTGGCTTCTTTTCCAATGCCCTCTTACCCAGCAACCTGCTTACTTTTGTCCTTTAATGGTCATGCTCTCGGGTAACCACCTGCCCGGCTGTCTGTCCTCTTCCACAGTTCTGTACTGCTAAGGACATGAGTCATAGCTTGTCTTTGTAGGTCTTTAGGTTATCACAGTTCATGGCACAAATTACACTTCTGTTTCTAGGTCACATTCCCTCAAAAACAAAAGTTCTGAAAAGGAGTTGATGATTTGAGGTTTTGTTAGATTTGGGAAAGGAGACAGCAGGACTCTGAACTTGAGAAACTTAGACAAAAAATAGCCCAAAGTCAACAGGACAGTACAGAAAATTCCAGCTCTAACCTTGAACCAATTCTTTTTCCCAATCAATGCCTTAGTACTTTCCTCTTTACCCTTCTTTAACCCACCACCGGTCACTTCAACATCTCGTTCATCTGCACTCCGTGTAACTCTACATTCCCCTATCACACCTCCCCTCAAGATCCACTGAAGGTCATCAAACCCTCCCCTACTCTGTGTGCCTGCCATCAACAGTAAGATGCAGGGGCAGCTATGCTGAATTTGCCAGGTTCGTGCAAACATAAGGTGCAGTAGATCTGAGTAGAAGCAAGCCTCTTTTTACCACATGCTGGAAAGCCTTGTTACTTAGCTTCTTTGCTTACTCTAGAGAGCAGAGAGAGCCACCTGCCCCAGGATCTACATGTGAAATACATGGAAAGGTTCTGTACGGTGAGGTTTTTACATAGAGGTTGAGAATGAAGGGACTCACCGTATAGTGAGATGCCCACAAAGTTCATTGTGCTTTAGTATGGACATACACTCGCACAAGACAACTGTAAAAGCTTTCCAGGGGCTGGTGCTGTGGCACAGTGGGTTAAAGCCCTGGCCTGCTGCGCTGGCATCCCATAGGGGTGCTGGTTCGAGTCTCGGCTGCTCCACTTCTGATCCAGCTCCCTGCTATGGCCTGGAAAAGTTGTAGAAGATGGCCCAACTCCTTGGGCCCCTGCACCCACGTGGAGACCTGGAAGAAGTTCCTGGCTTCTGGCTTCAGATCAGCTCAGCTCTGGCCATTGGCGTCATTTGGGGAGTAAACCAGCAGTTGGAAGACTTATTTCTCTCTATCTCTACCTCTCTCTATAACTCTGTCTTTCAAATAAATTAAATAAACCTTTTTATTTTTTAACTTTTATTTAATAAATACAAATTTCCAAAGTACATCTTTTGGATTACACCGGCTTTTCCCCCCCATAACCTCCCTCCCACCCGCAACTGTTCCATCTCCCACTCCCTCTCCCATCCCATTCACATCAAGATTCATTTTCAATTCTCTTTATATACAGAGTACCAGTTTAGTATATATTAAGTAAAGATTTCAACAGTTCGCACCCACATAGAAACACAAAGTGTAAAGTACTCTTTGAGTACTCATTATACAGTTAATTCACATAGTACAACACATTAAGGACAGAAATCCTACATGGGGAGTAAGTGCACAGTGACTCCTGTTTTTGATTTAACAACTGACACTCTTGTTTATGGCATTAGTAATCACCCTAGGCTTTTGTCATGAGTTGCCAAGGTTATGGAAGCCTTTTGAGTTCGCGGACATCGATCTTATTTAGACAAAGTCATAGTCAAAGTGCAAGTTCTCCCCTTCTTCAGAGAAAGGTACCTCCTTCTTTGATGTCCCGTTCTTTCTGCTGAAATTTCACTCACAGAGATCTTTCATTTGTCTTTTTTTTTTTTTTTTTTTTTTTTTGCCAGAGTGTCTTGGCTTTCCATGCCTGAAATACTCTCATGGGCGTTTTAGCTGGATCCGAATGCCTTAAGGGCTGATTCTGAGGCCAGAGTGCTGTTTAGGACATCTGCCATTCTATGAGTCTGCTGTGTACCCCACTTCCCATGTTGGATCATTCTCTCCTTTTTAATTCTATCAGTTAGTATTAGCAGACATTAGTCTTATTTACGTGATCCTTTTGACTCTTAATCCTATCATTATGATCAATTATGAACTGAAACTGATCACTTTGACTAGTGAGATGGCATTGGTATATGCCACCTTGATGGGATTGAATTGGAATCCCCAGGCACATTTCTAACTCTACTGTTTGGGGCAAGTCCGATTGAGCATGTGCCAAACTATACATCTCCTCCCTCTCTTATTCCCACTCTTATATTTAACAGGGATCACTTTTCAGTTAAATTTAAACACCTAAGAATAATTCTGTGTTAATTAAATAGTTCAACCAATGGTATTAAGTAGAACAAAAAAATACTAAAAGGGATAAAATATTAAGTTGTTCCTCGACAGTCAGGACAAGGGCTGATCAAGTCATTGTTCTCATAGTGTCCATTTCACTTCAACAGGTTTCCTTTTAGGTGCTCTGTTAGTTGTCACCGATCAGGGAGAACATATGATATTTGTCCCTTTGGGACTGGCTTGATTCATTCAGCATGATGTGTTCCAGATTCCTCCATTTTGTTGCAAATGACCAGATTTCATTTTTTTTACTGCTGTATAGTATTCTAGAGAGTTCATATCCCATAATTTCTTTATCCAGTTTACCGTTGATGAGCATTTAGGTTGATTCCAGGTGTTAGCTATTGTGAATTGAGCTGCAATAAACATTGAGGTGCAGACAGCTCTTTTATTTGCCAATTTAATTTCCTTTGGGTAAATTCCAAGGAGTGGGATGGCTGGGTTGTATGGTAGGGTTATCTTCAGGTTTCTGAGGAATCTCCCGACTGACTTCCATAGTGGCTTTACCAGTTTGCATTAACACCATCAGTGGGTTAGTGTCCCTTTTTCCCCACATCCTCGCCAGCATCTGTTGTTGGTAGATTTCTGAATGTGAGCCATTCTAACCGGGGTGAGGTGAAACCTCATTGTGGTTTTGATTTGCATTTCCTTGATTGCTAGGGATCCTGAACATTTTTTCATGTGTCTGTTGGCCATTTGGATTTCCTCTTTTGTAAAATGTCTATTTAGGTTCTTGGCCCATCTCTTAAGTGGGTTGTTTGTTTTGTTGTTGTAGAGTTTCTTGATCTCTTTGTAGATTCTGGTTATTAACCCTTTATCTGTTGCATAGTTTGCAAATATTTTTTCCCATTCTGTTGGTTTCCTCTTCACTTTCCTGACTGTTTCTTTTGCAGTACAGAAACTTCTCAATTTGATGTAATCCCAAATGTTAACTTTGGCTTTGACTGCCTGTGCCTCCAGGGTCTTTTCCAAAAAGTATTTGCCTGTGCCTATATTTTGCAGTGTTTCTCCAATGTTCTCTAATAATTTGATGGTGTCAGGTCGTAGATTTAGGTCTTTAATCCACGTTGAGTGGATTTTTGTGTAAGGTGTAAGGTAGGGGTCTTACTTCATGCTTCTGCACATGGAAATCCAGTTTTCCCAGCACTATTTGTTGAATAAACTGTCTTTGCTCCAGGAATTGGTTTTAGATCCTTGATCAAATATAAGTTGGCTGTAAATGTTTGGATTGATTTCTGGTGTTTCAATTCTGTTCCATTGGTCTATCTATCTCTTTCTGTACCAGTACCATGCTGTTTTGATTATAACTGCCCTCTGGTATGTCCTGAAATCTGGTATTGTGATGCTTCCTGCTTTGTTTTTGTTGTACAAGATTGCTTTAGCTATTTGAGGTCTCCTGTGCCTCCATATGAATTTCAGCATCATTTTTGCCAGATCTGAGAAGAATGTCTTTGGTATTTTGATTGGTATTGCATTGAATCTATAAATTGCTTTTGGGAGAATGGACATTTTGATGATATTGATTCTTCCAATCCATGAGCATGGAAGATTTTTCCATTTTTTGGTATGCTCTTCTATTTCTTTCTTTAAGGTTTTGTAATTCTCATCATAGAGATCTTTAATGTCCTTGGTTAAGTCTTCTCCAAGGTATTTGATTGTTTTTGTAGCTATGGTGAATGGGATTGATCTTAGCAGTTCTTTCTCAGTCGTGGCAAT